GCAGTTGTATCATGTGGAACAGATTGGGATGTTGTTCGAAAATGCATTTGTTCTGCATACTTTCACCAAGCTGCGAGGGTCAAGGGGATCGGAGAATACGTTAATTGTCGTACAGGAATGCCTTGCCACCTTCATCCAACAAGCGCATTATATGGCCTTGGATATACACCTGATTACATTGTTTACCATGAGCTAGTGATGACCTCGAAAGAATATATGCAATGTGTTACTGCTGTGGATCCTTATTGGCTAGCAGAAATGGGGTGTGTTTTCAGGCAGTCATCTTGACTTAGAGTTTTATACACGTACTAACGTATATGATAATTTTAATATAGTCCTATGTTCTATTCAGTCAAAGAGAAAAATTTCACACAAAAAGTGAGACTGGTCGCTTTTGATATTTACCTTTTACTTTTTTTATTTTGCGCTTCATTTTAATCATTTATTTTGTAGGAAAAACGGGCTGCTAATAAGGCGGAGATGGCCAAAATGACTATGGAGATGCAACTTAAGACAGCACGTGAGAAGGAAGAAGCAGAGGCGAAAGAACTTCAACGTCAATCGGCTTCAGCTCCTAAAAGCTCACGTATTGTAATTCCTGGCAAAAGAGAACCCGGAACACCCATGAAAAAGCGACGTTTAGGCATCTGAACGAATATGCAAATACGCACGTACTGAAGTGTTGTGATCTTGTTTTAGGGTTGAGAAAAGAGGAATATTAATTATCTGGTTCACTGATCTTTTAGTATAGAATATTTACCAAAAAATAACTATTTATAATAACTGAAATTAACAATAAATCTAGAATACTAACTACCATTTTGATCAAGTCTTAACGTAATTATTTCCTGTTACACGATATCTCGTTTATTGATATTTTTTTAAAAAAAAAATAATTGTTATATTGTTGATTATAATTAAAATTAAATGTTAATCAAAATCATAAATATTGAACCTGAATAAGTTATTGTAAATATTTTTTATATTGTTACCAAAATTATATTGATTTTGTTAACTATTTATCATACAGTATTTTATCATATTTATTATCAATTATTATTATGTTATATATTTTTTTAATGGTTTAATTCTATTTTCTTGAGAATTTTTTAAAACATTATATAGTCTTTAATAGTTCTGCTTTTACAAATCTAACTCAAAATCCAAGTTGCAAATAATATTTGTAATCTTAAATAATTATATGCAAAAAGATTAAAAAAACTTTTTTTGTTGATTTAAAATTAATTTTAATAATAAGTTTTTGAATAATTTCACATTTTAGCTTATAAATAAAAAAAAATTTTTTTATAATCAAATTTTATATAAATTAATAAACTATATACAGTATTAGAATATAACAATATAAAATTGTTTAAAACAAAAATATATATATATATTTTTATCCTTGCAACAATTTTAAAATAGTTTTAGAATTTATTTTTTTGTTTTAATATTAAAATAAAGTTATAAAAATAAAATTAATCTGAAACAATTATATTTAAATTAATTTATTTAATATTATTTGAAATATTAATTAATATACAATATATTAAATAACTAATAAAAAAAAAATTTAGAAAAACTTATAATATTATTGATCTTAACAAACATTCAAAACTTTTTCTTAAACAAATAATTCAAATCCATAGATCTTTAAACCCAAGTATGGATCCACCCATGTGATGTAAAAGTTGATACTCGGGCAGAAATGGGTGGGTAGCATTAGTTAAAATAGACTGTTTATGTAATGATTATATAATCTGCAATTGATTAATAAAAGTCATGCATGTATCGCACTTAGCCCCCCAAAAAAAAAAAACAAATAATTCAAATCCAATAAAATTATTTCAATTAAAGTTTTTTAAAACCAAATATTTTAGATTATTATTCTTTTATAATCAAATTTAAAAAGAATTTTAACAAATTAAAAATATTAAACAACTTGAAATTTCTTAAAAAATATAATTCAACTTGCTAAAAAACTATTATTAGCTTTTAATAACATCAATATTATTATCAAAGTAATTAAAAAAAAATTTGTAAAATTATACAAATACCTAGGGCTCCTAATAAAATCATTTCAATATCTGTTCAATACCAATTCAATATTTAAATTTATTATATATTTATATAAGTGAGTTACAACCTATATATTAAATTTACTATAGATTAATACTATTTCAATACTACTTTGGTATTGATTTAGTATTTTTTGAAGCCTTACAAATACTTATATTATTTTTTTTAAAAAATAATTAATAAATTTAAATATAATAATTATATCTTTTTTAATATTTTTATAAACAAAAAGTATATTAAATTCTTTTATTAAAAAGACTTTAAAAAAAATATATATAAATAAATATCATCTTTTTTTTATTAATTATAAAACAAAAAAAAATCCATATATAATTTATATTATCTTATTTATTATCTTTCTCAGAACTATAAATATTAAAAGTCTTTTTTTTTTTTTTTTTTTTTATAGATAAATGTGCAATAATACAAATCTTTATTGATACTTGCATAAATCGAATTACATCAAGTATCCTTTTACAATTGGAAATTGTACTATTGTACCGATTATGTAGTCTACAATTGTAA